TTTTTTTTTTTTTTTTTTTTTTTTTGTTGATGTTGTTGTTGTTGTTGTTGTATGGCCCACGTTATGAATGTGAAGATTAGTTTACGCTTCACAACAAAAGCGTGATTTACTTCACTGTCTCAATAATTAATCCTTTGTTTATTATTATTTTGAACTTTTAATTAGTTTTGTTTCAGTTCTTATCCCTTGAAAATGGGTCACACAAACATGCTTCCCTCCCTTCCCTCTCCTGTATATAAGCTGAGAGAGATCGTGAATAATGATAACAGAGAAACCCCAGAGCTTCGAAGAACAACAATAATGGCGGAGAAGAAGGGTGGACGAGTAGTCGTGATTCCATTTCCTGCACAAGGCCACGTTAACCCTCTAATGCACATTTCCAAAGGGCTGGCAAAGCAAGGCATCAAAATCACGATGATCAACACACATTTCATTCACAGTAAGCTACTGACAGCCATGGGCCAAAACATGGACCAAATCCTTGGCCCAAACGTTGAGCTCTTGGGTCTCCCTGATGGGTTTCCTCTCCACGAAAACAGAGACGACATACACAAGCTGTTCGTGGATACAATGAACAATTTAAAGCCACAGTTTGAGAAATTGCTTGCCAAGATGAACACGGAGCAGGACGGCGGCCTCGCTTGTGCCATTGTCGATATGTCGATGGGTTGGGTCCTCGAAATCGCTGCCAGTTTGGGCGTGAAAGGAGCCATTTTCACGCCTTTCACAGCCGCTCACTCTGTTTTGAATCTCAGCCTCAACGAACTTATTGAAAGTGGCATCATGACCCCAGAAGGGATTCCGGTAGAGGAAAAGACAATCGAGTTGGAATCACTGGGAACTCCCTCAATGATCCACACTAGTGACCTTCCTTGGCGGCGCGTTCCATTCAAGAACTCGCAAAAGATTTTGTTCGATCACTTGGTTAGAGTCCAGCGAGGGTGCCATTACGCGAAATGGTACATTTTGATAGCGCCTCACGTACTGGAGCCACAAGTTGTTTCACTCAACCCCAAGCTTCTAACGATCGGCCCACTCATTGCGACGGAGGCAGGGCAGTTATGGAAAGAAGACGACTCCTGCATCCATTGGCTAGACCAGCAACCGGCAGGGTCGGTTGTGTACATGGGATTTGGGAGTAGCACCGCCTTCAGCCGGGAACAGTTTGAGGAGATCGCGATGGGGATGGAGCTTACGGAGCGGCCGTTCTTGTGGGTGGTGCGGCAGGGAACGGAGCACCAATTGCCAGCGGGTTTTAAAGGGAAGAAAGGGAAAATAGTGAGTTGGGTGTCGCAGCAAAAGGTGCTGAACCACCCTTCTGTAGGGGTTTTTATGAGCCACTGTGGGTGGAACTCTGTAATCGAAGGGGTGAGCAGTGGGTTGCCGTTTGTCTGTTGGCCGTACGTGGGAGACCATTTTCTGAACATGAAATACGTGACTGAGATTTGGAAGGTGGGAATTGGGTTTGAAAGGGAAGTGAATGGGGTTGTAAGTCGTTGGGAAATCAAGAAGAAGGTGGAGTTAGTCGCAGGGAATGAAGAGACGAAGGGTCGAAGCAGAGCTCTTGCGGAGGACATAGGGAGGTGTTGGGAAGGGGCTGATGCTCCTTCTGCCCTCAACTTCGCTCGACTTGTTAGATGGGCGAAGCAAGGAGATGATGATGATGATGATTGATATGTTTATTATGCTTAGGTCTGTCTTCTCTTCTAGGCCCAAACCCCCACTCTCTTCACCCCTTTTATTGCCCCCGTTTGGGTCACAAGCCCACGCTTTCCACCTCGCCGACTGTCAAGGATTCAAATGCTCCTTGTAAACAAGGTGATTAATTCTAACTTTACCAATGTGGGATGAAATGATACCACGCATTATAACTCCTCGAATGGTTTAAATTTCAATCAAATTTTGAGGGTGTTTAAGCCTTCCTACAAAATACAAACTTTTAACTTCTTTTTGTAGTCCCAATGCATCTTAGTAAATATATATCATGTCATACGAGACCATAAAAATATAATATTTAATTGTGTTCGAATTAATACACGTCGAAAAAAAATCAATTTCTCCATGTTATAATTAAACTCACTTAATTCAATTCTATAAGTAAATAAATTTAAAATTATCGTTTAATAATTTGTGCGGATGTTTTCCTTGTTCAAACTCAACTCAAGATCATCTAAAAATTGTTTCTCTCAATAATCCTTAATAAATCTTTGTTCGAATGTCATAAATTGGAAGGCATCAAAAACATGTTTTGACAAGTGAACCGTGATTTTTGGTGAAGATGCATCAGACAAAACACATGTTTCTGATGCCCCCAACTTATAACTTTCTGACTGTGATGCCAATAAAATATAATCGTAAATAAATGAACAGTATTTTTTCAGCGAACTAAAAAAAAAAAATTACCTTGGATTTTTTCATGGCGTTCTATGTCATACAGAAGCAATCTACATTTATTGATTAGTTTTTGAAAGAAAGGTCAAACTGTTCAAGAAAATCAAATGTTTAAGAGGTGAAAACAGGGCATCAGAAAGTCATTAGTACCAACAGTCTCGGAAGGCTGAAGGGCAGCAGCAGCAGCATCACAGGCAGCAAAGTCAGATGAATTGGTGGCAGAGGGCATTGTGCAACTTTGTGTACTTGAAGAACTGGTCCAACTTCAAAGAATGAGGAAAATTAGTGTCAAAGGAATCTTGGACATGAAAGAACATAAATTGAAGAAAACACATCCACTAACTTTGTCGGCAAAGGTGAGTAAGCTTCCTTGTACAAACAAACAGCCCCCACACACCTGGAAGGAACATTTATTATAATATTCATGCAGAAAAGATCAGGATTGGACATGGTTTGGGATTTGTTTCATCAATCCAGAGTTATTCCTTCTGACTGTCTTTGACAATGATATGATATCAGCTTTCCTCTCACATCACCAAACCATGAGTTCAATCAGATACTGACAGACATAGTTAGCTGCTTTCAGTCAACCAGCCAATCAGAATCTTTCCCACCAAAAAGAACCTTTTACAAATAATGACAATAATAATATATTTAGGAATGCAAGAAGAATATCTTCTTCTTGTCCTTTATTCCTTCATAAATGTGTTCCCTTTTGGCACTTGGGAAACAGTCAATGTTTGTGTTTCCCAATAAATGAACAAGTGATGGTGAAGGTGGACACAAGCTTACACGTGACCAATGAAAAGGAAAGAAAATAAACAGAAAAATACAAAGAAAGGGAGTTTTTAAAGCCATAACTTTAACCTTTTTGGTTTATTCTATTCGCTTGGTCTTCTTGATGCAAACTTCCATACTGATTTCCCCAGTTCTTTGAAATAATAAACCTATAAAAAGTGGCACAGTAGAAGAAAAACTGCAAAGCATGACTAATAAGCTTACCAATAAATTGGCAGGCTAGTTTCTCTAATTTATGTATTAAAACGATATGCAATATCCATACCCAACACATCATCCTCTCTGAATCGTTCGCTTCGGAACGACTTGTTCACCTGAGATATTCATGAAAATTTACATGATACATGATACCACTATGTACTACATCAAAATAAGCAACGGTTTGGCCTTGATTCGACAAAAGAACGAATGGCCTCAATTATCAGAGCTGCTAAGATATGAACCTATTCTTGTATCCTCTTTCTTCTACAGTACCACATCATGTCAATGCCAGAGATTGTAGTAAAAAAGTAGGGGCAGGATATGGTTTGTATGTAGATGACCAGGGAATTAGCTGTGGGTAACCAATTAACTAATTACTACAGTGAAAGGCATTGTACACCCTCTGGAAGATAATTAGGAATGGGGTGTGCAGTGACATATCTTTGGGGATATGATTTTGAAGAAGCATTTCCAGAGAGTTCTACTTGACGAATGTGAAACCTTGCAAAACGATTAATGACAGAAAATCGTTCCAACTCTTGACATTCAACCATCAAGTCCACCATGGAGGCTGTCCTGTCCAATCTGCACGGCAAGTGCCATAACTCAGAAGATTATAAATGATGTTTTGTAGGTTGCAAACTGCATATTTCTATTCTTCTAGCAATTATTAGAAGGTTTTAAGCACGATTAGTGAGCATGATATTACAATGAATCTAGATGTATAAGTAAAAAACGACTAAAAGCTATGTGAAAACAAAACCGTATGTGCATACCTTTGCAAGTCACTTTCCAGTTTCCCGGCTTGGGCGTAGAATCTTTCCACAGTAGTCTCTATGTACTTATCGCCAGTAGGTTTTACAGTTTCACGTTCGTCAGACATTCTGAAAGTTACCCACAGAAAGTTTTTACAAAAGCTGCCCAAAAACTAATTAAATCTTTCATGTAATTTACACATTCGAGATAATTAATCCAAAGAAATAAAGTGAAAAGGAATAAGATTATACTCTGCTTCTAAAAAAATATAAGAGCAGAGAAAATGTTATTTATACAAACGCAAAGTAATGACATGATGTTCTACTCCTACTTTCACAATTGGGAAAATCAAAATGTAAACAGTTGCTAGCAACAAGTATGGAAAGGACACATACACATTTCTGTTATCAAGTGTTGAGACATGAAAATCATTTCTTTGACCACACATCAGGCTGCATGTATCCCCTAATGATGCTCTTAAGATAAAGTATATCACGCTATCATGGAAGGAAGAGGCATCTGCTGAGAGAATGGATGATGGTGCAGGACAAAGTAACTGCTGCAACAGCCGTGTTGTTGTTATAAGCCTTCTCTTCGATCGAAGCATCACATATCCATCTTCAACCATCTCAACTTCATTTACCATCTGAAATTTAAAGGAGAAAAAAATAGGTCAGCAACTTCATATTTAAAATTTTAAACAGAGTTTTTGATCTTTTAGTTTTAATGGGAATACTTTTTCTGTCAGCCGGTTTGTGGTTTCTGCCCAGTCTTGTTCTGCCACACTGCAAGCAACATATTCTAGACATTAACAACAACCAGACAAACACATGGTCTTAGATAAAATAAATGTTGATTGTAAAAAGAGAATATCATTTCAACTAAAAGTCAAGATTAAAAGAAATATCCCCTCTTTACTTTGATCGCTAAATACCTGATATTCACAATCCTTTGAGAACCTTGGACTTCTAGATGCCATGGTTGAAACTCAGATGAGTCAAATTTACGTTTTTTAGGTCTCAACGTGTTCGCAGTTTTAACAGTGACAATAGAAGGCGATTCGTAAGGGCCTGTTATGTCAGTTGGCACCGTGGTTGCAGCAGCAGCCGACCAAACTCCACCACTCCGATTAACATCTGCAGAATCTGTTCCATCCAGAGTTGACAGTTTGCAAAAAATTTCCGAAGGCTTCGAGAGAGAGAAGTTTCCACCAGGTTGCTTTGGAAGCAGCTCATTGTACATTGAAGGCATCTGCCCATTTCTGAACTTAAACCAGGAAGACGCAGAAAGTGGATTCATCTGAGAATTTTCTTCATCATTACCTTCCATATTTTTTCTATTAAAGTCATTCACAGCCTCACTTTGGCCGTCTGAAGTAAAACCCCTTGAACATGCATTTGGTGGATTCTCAGACAAAGATTTCACATTATAATCTTCTCTTCCTCCCCTTGCAAACAGGTTTAGCATTTTTCTATTTTCAGATAGCAATGGGTTGATCTCGTATGCAAAACCTTGTCCATGCTTCGAATCTTCTCTTGTTAAATTCTCTTTTGACATAATAGTTACCTGTTGTGCATCTTGAACTCCCTTTGGCTCAGTCTCCACATTCTTCATTGGTTGAACTTTTTGAAGCGAGTATTGTTGACCAACAACATGAGGCAATTTAGAAAAGTTATCAAATGGAAAATCCCTTTCACAGGTGGTTAAATTATTTTCCTCCATTTGTACTCTATTTAGATCTTGCTGATGTGGATGGGCCAGTAATAAGCCAGAGGGAAACGCAGCTGTACTAGTAATCTTCCTTGCCATTCCATCAGCCAGTAAAGTATTATATACATCCGACTTAGTCCTCTGCTCTGGTACCTCATCCTCATGGTCATAATTCAGTGAATTTGTAGGAATCATGTCAGATTCCAGTAATTGGAGTCCACATTTTTTAGAAGATTGATCGTTGAATCCCAGTGGAGCCAATGAAGTTGCATTATGTTGCTGGCTTGTGTTATTTAACCAAACATTTTGCTGCCTTGCCAACAACCCACCCTGTTGGTCTATTCTTGACATAGATAAAGACTGAGAGGGAGGCAGCGCCTCAAAAACCGGATACTGTTTTCCACTCATATTCCTGTCGATGTGTCGAGATGTATCATGAGAGGAAGGTTGGCCATATTGTGGATATCTAGAAGCAGTACTTGGCAATGAAGCCTTTGGAGACAAACGTGATGCAAGTGCACCAGAAACGAATTGCCCTTGATTTTCATCTGTTACAAAATGGGGCGGCAGGAATAATGAAGTAGCAGCTTCTGCCTCTCCCAAACAATGCGAATTTTCATCCCAATGCACATTTTGTGATGACTCATCTGGAGGCATAGACTGAATAGGAGATGGGGGAGCTAAGTCAGAAATAACCGGACTTGTATCCGGATTGCTTGATAATTGAGGTAGGCCTCGAGATGAAGAGATCTTATTTGAATATGATAGCTGTTGAGATGGATGAAGCAATCTCATAGGAAATCCTTGAGATGTGGACTGATTGTGATTTTGAGAAACAGATGGATTTGGAAACACTGCCTGAGACATCATAGACAAGGGACTAGAGCCAATAGAGCCATAATGGGGGATGGCACTATTGTCCTTACAATGGTCGACATTTTGAAGATGCCCATTCACATTTTCACTGCAAAAGTTCATGGATATAAAGTTATGAGTACATGTTTAAAATAAAATGAAAGTGTGATAACACTTGGTCAAGCAATAATGAAGAGACCAACAACATATAGGTTAAATAAAAAGCTTTGGCTCAATGATTCAACCTCCCAGGTGGAGTTGACATTGTCTTTTCTTAACATAACTACCTTGTTTGTTTGTATGGAGTTTGGCCATTTGAGCCCGTTGGTTTGCCGAAGTTGGTAGATGCATCCAGATGGCCCCTAGGAGTACCATCTGAAGAATTTAAATTTCTCTGGAAACCAGTTAACTGCCCCTGTAAAGATAAATAATTACACGCAACATTAGGAAGGTCACAATACAATAATTGAAATATAGATTGGGATAACAAACCACCTTCTCCAAGTTCACAGCGTTGGAAGGAACATCAAAAAATGACTGCTGAAAATGACCCTGCCCTTGAGAGCTTAATTGTTTCAACATGTAGTGGTCACGGGAGTTACTTTTCAGCAGAAGCTTGTCAATAAATGAGTCACCTGCTTTATCAAAAGAATTTTGTAGAACATTAGAATCATCGCTTATCTGACTGTTCTTTTCTCTCATGACATCATTTTCCTAGCTGTTCATGGAGATGTTAACAAGCTTCATATTTTTAAGGTGCCTAAGATCATTATGATCCCTTCCATTGTGTGGGACTTCATTGACTAGTTTTGCAAGATAATGGCATGGACAATAGTTTTAATCGATGCAACTATATCTCAATCAAACACTACCAAATGATTAATCCTACCTTGTCGTTTCCCATGTGGTCGATTAACATTATCATGAGAAGCTGTTATCTGCTGATGTGGTCTGTCATATTCAGGCTGCTCATACAACTGACTTGCCAAGCTCTTGTTTAAGTGCTCGTGTGGTTGAGCATGTTGAGATTGGTCACCAAGTCGCTTTTGTGCACTCGTAGTGTCTAACCATTCACCAGTTTTTTCAGAAGGATTTTGATGTTCTGTTTGCTCAAAAGATGGTTGGATGCCTGATTGCTGAAACCCAGGAAAGCTAGAACTCATACCAGAACCGTTGAAGTTTGCATATGGCCTTGAACTTAAAGAAGATGCACTTTGCATGCTGTTTTCATACCAAGCAGATTGCTCCTTTTTACTATCCACTATGTTTGAATGCTGATTTTCAGTTGACAGTTCTGTATTCTGAAAAGTCAATCCACTCCATTCCTCCTGTATCCCAGTATCACTACTAGAAGCCTCGGCTACAGCTGACTGCATGAGAGCACTCCAGCTCCCACTATGAATAGAAGGAAGTGCATTTGAATAATCTGAATGTACTGGGTTATTTTCAAAACTTCCATTGCTGACATTTGTACATTTTCCCAAAGAAGTGTCCCACATATTTTGATCCATATTATATAAAATTTTTTGTTCAATCGGATCCAGGGGAACAAAATACTGAGATGCATCCAGTTGGGTGACTTTTTGCTGTGTGGTACCAAGCCAACCAGTTCCATCTTGCTCTCCTTGAAATTCAGGAAACGATCCATTTGTTTGTGAATAATTCTTCTGCTGGATGATATCTGATCTCATTCTGGCATCCAAACCTTGATTTGGAATTTGGTCAAATAAAATTTTCCCTTCAAAGCCTTGTTTAAATCTGCCCGTTTGGCCTGCAGAAACAGTATTTATATTACCCATAGAGGAGCTACTGAAAGCTACAGGCTGCAAAGTAGGCTTCAGGCAATGACCACTAGCCTTTGTCAACAAACTGCAAGAATCACGATCCATTCCCTGGAGCTGAGAATATTGACCCATGCTACCTCCTCCACTGTAGTTAGGAGATCTATTATTAGATTCATCAAGCTGCTGTGGAACCAACACTGTCGAGTGAAAAGATTGGCCTTTCTCGGGCGAAAACATTAGTTGGTTGTATACTCCTTGCGCTGCAGAAGATGCACCTAGATATGTCCTGTTCATGAACATTTCTGATGAATCAGAGAGAGATGTTCCATTAATAAAGGATGGATATTGACCCCCTGTAGACTGTCTAGGGAAAGCAGAGATCTGATTTTGAGAACCCTGCTGCCTTGCATCACCAAATTGCTGAAGTTGCTGCTGCTGCTGCCTATGAATATCTTGCATCTGCTTGAACATCATTTGCTGCTGCAGTAACTGCACGTCATTATATGTAGACTGCTGCATCAATTGAAATTGAGAAGTGTCTAATTGTTGCTGACCCCTCACAAGCTGCTGCGATCCTCCGAGAAAGTTGAAATCCGTTGACGATTCAGTTATTTCAGACCTCTCAGAATTAGTTGTCAGGGTTGGACTGTCTACTGGTGCATATTCTTGATGTGATTTTAGGACGGACAAGCCTCTCAGCATCAAGACATGTGGATCATAGCCAGTCGTTTCACCCAGGAATGCTTGCTGAGCGTGCTCTGTTTGGAAATTTTGCCCTCCAAACATATAGCCATTCGTATTCAATGGTTGGCCTTCCAAGGTGTCACTGCAGAAACCAGGTCTTGAAGCCAGTGGTGCAAAGTTTCTGCCTAATGACACAGTCAAATTTTTTCTCGGGTATCCTCCCACAGAATCTGCAAATCAAAACCTTATACAGTCAAAACAGCCATGGTTGTTTCAAATACGCTAAACGAACCCAGCATCGATATATCAAGTGGGGAAGGAGTAAAGACAAGAATGACAAGAAAGCTTTATACTATTAGAACTATCAAGAGAAAGGTAGAGACCATTGGGTACCTTGTAGAGTAATGTTACAGTTTTTTCGCATTGAAACTTGGATGATCACGTGCAGTTTTCTAACATGATGATCTCAAATGAACATAAACAGATCGCCATTCAAGACATGCAATTGAAGGCAGCGCTTATCTAATTTTTATTATCTGGAGTCCTGTAACTGTCTTCTACTTCTTGACCAGGAATGCTTAAAGCTACAGCCACCAAATGCATCGCAGTCCTAATGCCCAACAAGTAGGGGAAAAATCACTATAAGATTAAATCAAGTAAACACACTAGTAAGAAACTTGACCCGAATATGAAAGAAGGTCAGCATCCATTTGAGCAGCGTCCTAAACGCATTTGAATGCACGTTCTTCTTCGGTAAAAGAAAACTTGAAGATAAAAACGCTTAGTGATCTAGAAGTCACAGAAAGTCCCAAATAAGAAGGGACAAGCAACCACGCAGTGACACATGATTGACGAAACTCCACAGGTAGAACAAAAAAAAATAATAATAATCGAAGCTAACACCACTTGCAGAAAAAACAAATCATGAATTGCAGAGAAATCCCGTGGACAATAAATTGTGCAGCCAAATCCTAGTGCTTCAAAACCAAGACCCGAAAATTTAGCTCAAGAACCCTAAAATTGGCGCGTATCTCCAGTGACGAACATCATAAACCCCCAATAAGTGAACAAAATCAAAAGCCGCCAACAAAGTATAACAATTCGTTAGCTAATTTCAAAGAGGAACCGTATAGTCTTCACAATTAGATTAATTTAGGGGAAGAAAATAAACGAAAACCCACAAGGCAAAGCGAGCTAAGGAACACAGTGGCGAGCTGGGAGGTGTGATCTGAGCAACAGAATTATAACTACGCAAAAACTTAGGTGCTGGAGAATTCTGTTCTTGGAGGAGTATCCAAAGAGCACAATTGAAGGCCCGGAACTTTCTTGCCTCTCTATCTCTCCTTTGAGGTGAGATTGCAGTTCTTCATCAACCATCAAAACCCACGATAATTTCCAATGTCCCTAACTCTCTCTCTCTCTCTCTCTCTCTCTCTCTCTATCCCTCTCTGTAGCTCCAAGCCTTCTCTCACTGAAAACTCTCTCTCTCTCTCTCTCTCTGAACATTTCTCAAGTGCTGCAGAAAGAGTGAGAAACTGGTCTCTACAGACATCAAAGCCGAAGATAAAGCGATGAAAACAGTAAATTAGGCATTAAAATAATGCTAATTAACATTATGTTTTCAACAAACTCGGTTGCAAAAATGCCGCTTTAGGTTCGACACCCGAAGCTCTGGTTCGTTTTTAGCCTCGGACTCCCAAAACCAGGTCAGGCTCGGCTCAAATTTCCCCATTACATCTGAACCGTTCATTTTTTTATTTTACATCCCAGTCAAGAGTCTTTTCTTTTTTAAATTAAATTTAATTTTTATTCCCAATGTAACAATTTAATCACCCGTCACATTATAATAATTAAAATTTAGTTTCTATTATTTCGTCCAATCAATTCACTAATCGAGTTGGCTACATCCGTCCTCATCTTCTACTATATACACTTACAAATTTAATTCATAATTTCAAACGTCATTATATTTATTTTTAGCTAAAAGACATTTTTCAAACAAATAAATATAAATATGGTCTTAATCTATATGGTTAATTAATGCGTCACTTTATTATTCATCTCTTCATATGTGGTTGTAATTATAATTATTTTCATTTAGTGTCAATATACCTATTAAATAAATACTTTTGGTTACATACAAATAAGGAATGATAAAGAAAAAATAAAAAAAAAAAAGTAAAGAAAAAACTGAAAAAGTAGGGAAAAAGGAGAAAAAAGCCAAATTTTGCTACAATGCTGTAAAAGGAAGGTTAGACTATTGAAATAAATTATTATTTTCTTTCTGAAATTTAGTTAAACCGTTAATAAGTGGTATTTACAAATAGCATAATTTTAATATATTTTTTAAAATGTAATTTAAAAATTTTATTACACTAACAACATCAAACCCCAATTTAAACTCAAATATTTAAATTTTAAAATATGAGATTTAAAAAAAATAGATATTTTTAAGAAATTCATATTAAATATACAATTTTTATTTTTTAAAAAAAGAGAGAATGGTAGTTGGAGAACGGAGCCACTTTTGGGCGTGGGATCGAAACCTGGAAGACGAGTCAATTTTTTACCGCCATGCATCTCCACGCGTCTTTCACGGTGCGTATTCACCGTTAATGTCCTTTTTGCCCTTCCGTTTCTTCTCCTTTTACTGAATTTACAAATTTAACCCTGCTGTTTGTAATTTGTTAATAATTTTTTAAAATATTTAAAAAAAAATAAAATTTGACCGATTTATATTATATATCTAGAATTAAATCTGATCGTAAACTTTCAATTTTATAGATTCTGCCTTTGTAATTTTATTTTTAGTATTGATACAATAATGAGGAGTTGTGGTAAAAAAAATTGGCTCCAAAAGCGAGGGAGTAAATGCATTTAAAGGACAGTTGGGAGCTTGCATTTATGAGGCTGGATATTTTTACCGCCGTCCGTTTTTACTATTAATCTACCCAACAAAATATGGATTATTTTTATGTTTGAATTGTTATTCTCTAAATAAATAATTTATAGATTTGTAATGTTTGAAATTGAAATGTAAGATTTATAAGGAAAGAACAGGTGGTGGATTTTAAAATTTTGAATTTCAAACCAAACTCGTAGGCCCTACATGTTTTATCGTTACTTGATAGTAATCTCGTGTTTCTTTTTCAATGTCGAATATAGACCAAATTTATTCGGACCCAACTTTCAACTACATTCTATTGTAGTTGTCAAATTTATACGTTTTATCAACAATACCTTTTCATATAATATCTATTTTGAACGCTGTAGTCTATGTGAGCTCCTCTAGTTTATAACACATGGTCACAAGAAAGTTAATAGGGTCAGGTTGACTCAACCATGTTTATTTTGTTAAAATATTAAAAAATTATAAATTAGATTTTTGTTTAAATATAAATATTTTATTCATAAGAAAAGGATTTATAAAATAGAAAAATAAATAAATAAAATGTGATCGATTATATTTATAAAATAAATTATCCAGGCCAAATTCCCGCGAAAAAAATGGAAAAACGAACCAACAACAATGGCGCAGCCCAGCTCGATGTCTCACTGCCGTTTCATTCCAGCTTTGAAGCAAACTGGATCTGTTCGAACGGGCGCCGAGCAGCCATTCTTACCGGAATCGGTTGCCCTGTTTTCCTCTCGCCGTTCTCTCCACTCCGAAATTTTCTCCCGGCCTTCCCTTTTTCCCTCTCGCCGTTCTCTCCACACCAAGCCCATTCCCAAAACCCTACTGGTTTTTTTCCATCTCTTTCCCTATTCTCCAACTTCTCGCCGTTGCTCATCTTCGTTTTTTCTTTTAACTTCTTGTTATCCTCCTCCCCAACTCCTTTCCATTTGTGGATTTCGTCTTTTCTTCTTATTGCTGATTCAGGAAAAGAAGCGTTTCAGATTTAAGCAAATGGATTCTTCTTTGTAGCTGAGGATCGTATCCTAAACGTTCTTGGCGATTCTACGTGAGTCTCATTGTTCATCGCGATCATTATCTTTCTGCGTGTTATTTGTGTTCGGAATCGTACTTTAAGCAGTTTGCATGATACTTATATTGCTTGCTCGGTAATAACGAGGATTTTTCTTTTTCTGTTTCGTTTTTTTTTTTTTTTTTTTTTTTTTTTTTTTTTTTTTTTTTTTTTTTTTTTTTTTTTTTTTT